TAATTTGTATCTCACAATCACAACTCCTTGTGATTAACAAATCACCAAAACTTGAATCTACGAATTCTATTATTTAATTTATTAGAATATTAATTCAATTAAATAATAGATATTGCCATACATATGCATTGATTATATATATATTCAAAGTGTTTATTTCCAAAGTTGATTGAACCTAGGGCATAACACTTACAGATGGCACTAATGCAATTCATTTTATATTACCCATAATTAAGCTTAGAATCCACCCAGATACCCCCTTTGCGCTCACACCATTTTCAAGCATACTCCTGCATTATCCACCAATTTTATGAAATTCTTGAACATTGACTCGAACACGAAACCTCCAATCTAATACCAAATTTTAAACTAAAGAGAAATACTTTTAAGGTTTATGGAGTTACGTGTCCCCAAAATATTTTTGACACATCGACACATCAAATCTTCTTAATGTATGGGAAGACGTGTCAAAAAAAATTGTTGGCATATTTCTATTTGCTGAGATGTAATGTACCGAAATTTTTTAAAGTACATTGGATGAAAAGTAAGCTCTAGACGATAAATATCATTTTAATGTGATCTGGCAAAAACAACAGCCACTAATCTATAAGAAAAAAAAGGCTGAATCTCTGTACGTTTCCATACTTTATACAAGCAATTGTGTATTCCATTCACATCTGTCCCACCTACTTTAAATTATATAATAAGCTGTTTTATGACTCATGAGCTTAAGTCCATCAAGTATAATTTTTCTTCACAAAATTATGGTTTCCGTGTAAACCTGTCTCTTTGTGATTCTTCACTTATAATTCAGAGTTATATTACAGTTTGGAAGGTTGCATTCATCTTTCCTAAGGTATACTGAGTTCTTTTCTCTTTATTTTCGTATGTGTTGAACCGTCTCTTATAACAAGTTAAGTTATCGGAGAGTGCCACAAAATAAGATTGAAATTAGTCCTTGTTATTATAGATTTAGGGTTCCAAAGAATCCGAAACGTTTATTAAAGAAAAAATTTCTGAAACTCAGTACAATATATTATGCCCTATTTGGACTCCATTTTTCCAAAAACTCATTTTTTAAAAATTTATATTCAATCACACATTCTTCCATAAAATAATTATACACATAAATCCAAAATATTTATTTATTCTTTAATCACACATTCTCCAAAAAATCACTATCCAAAAGTACATTTTCCCCTAAAAATGGGGTCAAACATGGGCTATAAATAACTTAGTAGTCCCTTGACTCAAAATATGGCTCAGTAAGAACTGAAAATTAGTAATAGAAGAGTTAAGGATTTATTTATTTAAATTTTGTCTTGTGCAATCTTGTAGTCTCTGAATCGATAACAAAGAGTAACGGTCACGAGTTGGAGCTGAAGGTGGAAGTAGGACGTCCGGCTCTGGTTCCTCCTGCAGAGGAAACTCAGAAGGGTCCATACTACCTTTCTAACCTTGATGAAAACATTGCAGTTTTAGTTCGCACAATATATTGCTACAGATCAAGTGAAAAAGGCAATGAGAATGCAGGAAAAATAATCAGGAAAGCCATGGAAAAGGTTCTGGTTCATTATTATGCACTCGCCGGTAGGCTAAAGATAAGCTCGGACGGGAATCTTATTGTTGATTGCACTGGAGAGGGAGCTGTTTTTGTTGAGGCAGAGGCAAATTCTACACTTGAAGAACTCAGAGGCATAACTGATCCTCTGATTCTTGGGAAATTAGTTTATGAAATTCCTGGCCCTAAGAGTATGGATAAACCTCCCTTGGTTGCTCATGTTTAATTTTCAAGTTTTTTTGACCTGGACTAATTATCCCGTCTAAAAGTTTAAATTTTGAACACAAGATCTTCATTGGAATTGATGTTATATTGAATAACCTCATTAAATGTTTAAAAGCTTTTAAAGCTGATTTTTGATCCATGATCATGTTTATTTATTTATATTTAGCTCGTGTCTAGTGTAACAAAAAATTAGATTTTAATACATTTTGATAAAAGATGATAAAATGTGTGATTCGAAAGTTGTGAGTTTATGAAATACGTGGCTAAAATTAATTATTGTCGTCGGTTTAGATTTTTATCAATTTTTTAAGCTGCACCAAACACAGGTAATTTAAACACAACCTCACCATCAATGTATGAACTTAATTTAATATGGCAATAAAACTGGCAATCAGATATTCGATAGAAAATGAACTTAAAGGCTCAGATTGAAGACTAAATTTATATAAATAAACATGTTTTTTGGTGTTAGAGAGAACATAGATGCACTGTTTTTTTCAACCGACCCCTCAAGTGTAGATTGGTTTCATTTGTTTGATAGGTGCACATTCTCACCCCCCTTTGCTTTCAGGTTTGTACCTAATTTTCAGGTGACAAAATTCAAATGTGGAGGATTTGTACTTGGATTGTGTGTCAATCATTGCATGTTTGATGGTATTGGAGCAATGGAATTCGTGAATAACTGGGGCGAAACAGCAAGATCCCTCCCACTAACTGTGCTCCCATTTCTTGATAAAACCATTCTCAAACCTCGCAATCCACACAAAATACAGTATGAACACAAAGAATTCACGGAAATACAAGGCTTCTCTACCAGCACTGAACTCAATAAAGATAAAGAAGTACTCTATAAATCCTTCTGTTTCGACTCTCAAAAACTCGAAAATCTCAAGAAGAAAGCCATGGAAAATGGTCTTCTTGTAAAGTGTACAAGTTTTGAAGTACTCTCAGCTTTTTTATGGAGGGCTAGGACTAAGGCGCTAAAAATGTTGCCCCATCAAAAGACAAAACTCTTATTCGCCGTGGATGCACGGAATAAATTCGATCCTCCCCTTCCAAAAGCGTATTTTGGAAATGGGATTGTATTAACAAATTCTATTTGTCTAGCAGGAGAATTGATAGAGAAATCTTTATCATACGGGGTTCGACTTGTTCAAGAAGCAATTGAGATGGTGTCTGATATTTATATGAGGTCGGCCATCGACTATTTCGAGGTAACAAGAGCTAGGCCTTCTTTGAGTTGTACACTTCTTATTACAGCTTGGTCTAGGTTAAATTTTCACACAACAGACTTTGGATGGGGGAAGCTTATTGTATCGGGGCCTGTAGGTTTACCTGAGAAGGAAGTAACACTTTTCTTGGGTAATGGGAAAGAGAGAAATGGTATAAATGTACTTCTGGAATTTCCAGTTTCAGCTAGGAAGATTTTCCAAGAACTGATGGAAACATTATCAAAATTTATGGTATGTTCGGTGAATTGATTAATCAGTACTCGATCATATTAAATAAGAGAAAATAAGTTAAGGCTTTTATTCATTGTTTTGTTTAGTACATCTCATACTATTTATCAAATACAATTAATAAGTAGAAATATATCTTCAAGGATTCAATACTATGGTATACTGTCACGCGAAAATATAGTTCGAATGTGAACTCCCGTAAGTGTACGGATCGTTGACAAATAATAAATTGGACTTTTTGAATTCGAGTATCATTCCTACAAAGATTTATTAGTTCTAATTCTACTTACCGTGACCTAAACCGAAACAATAAAATCTGAATATTTTTGTAACGAAATTATAACTAAATTAATCTAATTATGTAAGGGTGAATGCTTTAACTAAACTAAATGCGGATAGCTTTGAATGTAATTTTGAGTTTTCGAATATATGATGAATGTACTAGGATCACGAATTCCTAAGTAATAATTCTTTAAACCAATTTTTACACTTTGACAACACAATTGAAATATTGACGAATCAATGCTCCTAAATTATTCAACAATCGTATGAGCTCGAGACATATTATCTGGAGAGTTTACCTTATGGTATCCTGCTTTGGACTATTTCGATTGTTACATTGGCGTAATGACTGACATGCAACTTGCTATACTTTTTGGTATTTCTTTGACTCTCCCCCCCATATTCTCTCCCTATTATGGTTTGGTGGCGCTTTCCATCATTTGGATCTGTCAAGATCAACACTGATGGTTGTGTCAAAGATGGGTTTGCAAGTGGGGGGAGGCATCATTAGGGACTATGCAGGAAATTGTATCAGGACTTTCTAAACTTCATATGGACAATGTATGATATTAGAGGCGGAACTTAGGGCTATTTGTGATGGGATACTATTGGTTAGAGATCTTGGTTTTTCAGATATTTGGGTTGAGGCAGATTCGACTATTGCCATTCACTGCATCACTAGAGGTGACAGACCGTAGCCTATCCAGGGGATACTCAGATAGATTGCAAATATCGTTTCATTTGACAGAGATATGGTCTCCCACATCTTCAGATAGGGGAACCAAGTTGCAGATACACTTGCTATGGAGGGTTGGCAACATCGTAGATGTCAGGAATATGAACTAGCCGACCTACCACGACATATCAGGGCGCTTGTTCAGATTGACATGTATGGTTTGCCCAGCACTAGAGTTTAGGTTTTTGTATTTTACTTTTACTTTTAGTTTTGCACTTTTGTTTTTGTAAGGGAAGTAGTACTTCTTATTTATTGATTTCATTTATATCATTTGTAACCACGGTATTCCTCCACTACAAGTGAGAACATATTAATAAAATTTGGAGGTACCGCCATCCTTCCAAAAAAAATAAAATTATTCAATAATCTTTCTCGAGTAAAGTCAAACATATTCTTATATATGACCAGACTATATCTTTATGACGGCTGCAAACATATAAGAATGCATGAGTTTTTATGAACACTTAAAGATTCACATAAGGTATAGAAGTATATTTATATTCCCTATCGAACCCTTTGATTATTTACACCCTGTCTAACATATTTCCGTTCTTCCAATGAATAAAATAGATCTTCACACTCACACAATTACGTGCACAATAATTATGGAGAAAATAAGATCATATAAACCATTCAAATATTCAAAATGTGTTTTAATTTTCAAGAATGTAAAGCTAAGAAATAAAAATCATATTAAATAGTTCATCGTTCTCTGGTACAGAATTAACCTAGCCTAACACGATAGAAAGAAGAAAATCAGAAAAACAATGAAGAAACGACATCACCAATTCAATTCTTGACTTTAATCTTCGCTTCGTGGTGTTGTTGTTCCCGTTATTCCTCTTCTCTACTCTCAAAACCCTTATGCATATGTTTTTTAGGTCAAAAGAAGGTCTCTCCTCTTGTTCTGGTCGAGTTTTGTATATGTAGGATGCTTAAAATCGTGTTACCGAAGTAGAGTTTTAGTTGGAAAAGGAAACAAAATCTCGCCAAAAGTTTGTATTTTGCGGTCGCATAGTATATTTATAAGCGGTCTCATACAAGGATGTCCAACCATAAATTTTGGCCATGGAATGCATTATGCGGTCGCATCAAATTAGACCTATGCGGCAGCATAGTTATACATTTTTCCCACCAGATAGCCTTCCGTATTTTGATCATATCGTTCTCTTTCGATACTCGATTGAGATGATTCAAAATGAGTTGGAAAAATAACTCAAAGGGTTACAAATCTTCTAGAAATATAATTTGTCCAATTCAAATATTTACTATGCCAAAATGGGTCTCAAACTGAGACTGAAAATTCAAAACATAACTTTTTCGACTGGAAATTGATATGTGATAGTACTTGGACTATATTTCATCCATTTGGCTTCTTTTCCTATCCAATTGATGCCTAACACTCTCAAATCTTCATCGTAAGGTTCGATGTAACTTTTGAGTATTTACATTTCAGTCCCCGAACTTTGTATTTGATACAATTGAACCATTTTTCCGCATTATTCTTCTTCCAATGTTCCATTCCTTTGATCAATTTGATTTCGCCATCTTCACATCTTCAAATCCTCTCCGGGTTATCTTTCGATTATTTGCACCTTGATCCCTAAACTTTAATTTTTTTTAGTTTTAGTCTTTTTCCCATTTTTCTCCTAATTTCCGCCATATTCATTAGTGTTCTCCTACAAACACAAATTACATCAAATTAAGCTATATTGTACATATTTATTAACAATTATCCATGTTTGTGGTCCAAAATAAGTGCGTAAAACGCACTCATCAACTCCTTTAAACTTGAACTATTGTTTGTCTTCAAACAAAACTGTAACTTAATTTCACATAAAACATGGTTTAATAACATGTTGTGTCTCAAGATTGGAATTTAGCAATTGCAAACTGAACAACTTCAACAGTGCAAAACTCAAATCAATATCCACTGGTTATATGCATAACTCGACGTGTGTGTGTAAACTCATGTAGACATGTCAGGCTCATGATTAGCTAAACACCTGACACATAGTAGTCAAATATTTTCTTACTTCGCTTGAGAGATGCACACACCCCCAAACTTATTTTTTTCACTCAATTTTTCCTGGGTACATCCTAAGTTGAATTTATTCAATTATACTTCTTACCCTCTCTTAGTTTGGATAGATCTTACTATTACAAGTTCACACTTCAACAAGTCGAGATTCTCCTATATTTGTGATTGCTTCAACTTTTAAGACTAAACTAAGTCACTTGCCTCTCATTAAAGGTATAGTTCTGTTGACCAAATGTTTGAGGCTTAATCAATGTAATTTAATATATAAATATATGTTTTTTTTAAATATCTTCTCATTTGCTTTCTATATAATTCATGTAACGAGTTTTAGGTCGATGACTCCCAAGTCAAATGACCATAGGGCACCAAATTTTAAACTACCCTCACATGCTTAATCACTCGAGTTATACAAGTTCAAAAAGATGCTTTTATTTACTCAAAAATTAGTGCAATGCCCCTTTTCTTTTAAACATCCAGATTCTAAAACTAACATCTAACTTAAAACTTTCATCTCGTCTTCGTCTCATTGGTTTTAGACAATACACACAAGTTAGTATCGTGCACAGAATCCCTACTTATCTTAATATTCCCTTGTAACAACTAAACCATTTACAAACCACCCTATAGTTGGATTATTGATTCATACTATGAAGGTTATTCGAGTTCATATACTATGTTCAACTATTTTCTAAATAATGAATTGAAACACCAACCTAATCTATCAACCATGAGTATTGTGCATAAAGAATGTCAAGTTTACATAAATGAGCTTTGACTAATCTAATAGTGCATTATTTTCATTATTAACAGTTCATACATTTTTAAATATTCAACATCATAACTAGCAAGGTCATCAAACCCATACAAGAACACAAAATTATAATTATAATTTAATATTAGGAAGTAAATGAATAAAAAATGCAATTTTTTTCATACAATGACATAAAGATTGCAGTAACATGATTAATGGAAATATTCTCACCCTTAAACTTATACAGAACATTGTACTCAATGTTTAAAGAATAATAAAATGCAAACTTAAATACACATAAAGCTAAGAACAAATTCACATAAAGATAAAGAAAATGGGGTTGGGGATACTTACTTGATCAATGTAGATGTGAAGGTGAAGATGATGGAGAAAAAGAAGTGTGGACCACGCATAGACTCTTTGTAACCTGTAAAGACGATGAATGACTCAAAATTATTAAACAAATATCAAAAACACGAAAAATTCTTAATATAATGCATAAAGCGAAATAAATAACTTTGTGCAGAATTTTTGAGCTAGGTCATTCCATGTGTTGATGCTGGCAATAGGTTAAGGTTTTTATTCGTTGTATTGTTTAGTACATCTCATACTATTTATCAAATACAATTAATATGTAGAAATATATCTTCAAGGATTCAATACTATGGTATATTGTCACGCGAAAATATATTTCGAATGTGAACTCCTGCAAGTGTGCGGATCGTTGACAAGTAATAAAGTGGACTTTTTGAGTCTGAGTATTGATCCCTTAGAGTTTTATTAGTTCTGATTCTACTTACCATGACCTTAACCGAAACAATAAAATCTAAGTACTTTTGTTACAAAATTATAACTAAATTAATCTAATTGTGTAAAGATGAATGGTTTAACTAAACTAAATGCGAATAGCTCTGAATGTAATTTGGAGTTTCGAATGTATGATGAATATACTAGGATCACGAATCCCTAAGTAATAATCTTTTTAAACCTAATTTTACACTTTGACAAAACAATTGAAATATTGACGAATCAATGCTTCTAAATTATTCAACAATCTCTCTCGAGTAAAGTCAAACATATTTTCATATATGACCGACTATATCTCTATGAGGGATGCAAACATACAAAAATGCATGAGTATTTATGAACACTAAAGATTCACATAAGACATAACGGTATATTTCTATCTCTTATCGGACTCTATGATGATT